AAACTAAAACACAGTAAATGCTGCGGGTGTGAAAGTTAAAACAGGATTTATTTTGGTGTCTGGACTTTTGCGTTTGTCGACTGAACGCTAATCCACCGAGTCGATAACGTAATCTGCTGTGATGCTCAGACGCTCAGGGGCTTTAGATCATAAACACCCCCCTGTCCCCCCCAGGTGAAGGACAGGTGTCTGTCTTAGAACCAAAGTGAAGTGTCACTGTGATGGGAGTGTGCACGTGAACACGTGCACTTTAGTGCTTGTTGGTCAGTGACCAGTGTGTGTGTGTGTGTGTGTGTGTATCATGTTTTTCTGGCTGCAGGTACGGCGCCCCCTGGGTTCCCAGCCCGACCTGTCAGTGTGTTCCTATCAGGTTCTATTGTTCGGTCCATTTTTAGCTGAACTCCTGCTGCAGCTGCTGCTTCACTCCATCAACCCTGACACATTTGTACGGCAGCAGGATTTGATCTGAGATGCTTCGCTCGGATGCAGAATGGGAACGCTAGCTTCGCTGGATTTCTGTTGAATTTTAAATTTAAAAAAGATTTAAATGAAATGAAATGATTTTAGTATTTCAGGTTTCCTGAAAGTCAAACTGTAAAGACGTGAATGAAGTCGTGAACTCTGGGCCACGCCGACGAGAACTGGATTTCACAGAACGTTCTCTTCGCTGCAGCGCCCCCCACAGCACAACGGGCGGCACTGCGTCTGCCGTTCAGCTGTTTGTTCTTCACTAACGGAAAAAAAAATCTGTGTCTGATATTTAACAAACAAATATTGTTTTCTGGAATATTCTGAAAATTTAATTCTCCTGAAAAATAAGAAACAACAGAAATATGACAAGAAGCAAAAGAAAAATGTTACTTTATTTAAACAAATGATATAAAGATTTCTTTCAGCATAATTTTTATAACGTTTTAACCTATTTCACACACACACACACACACACACACACACACACACACCGGAACATACAACACTGGGAGAGATTCAATTATTTATTTAATTATAAAAAGATATGAAACCACAGCGCCTCCTGGTGTTTACATGTGAGTGGACATAAAATCTATTTTCAAACAGGAAAATAATAAAATGTTGTTTTCGTAACTTTCAACCTGACAGAAAGACAAAGCTCATCTCTCCCCCCGCCCCTCCCTCACCAGCTCCCCCCCCACCGCTCCGCTCTCTCGTATTTGTTTGACCTCCTTCTCCGCCTCCTGCGCTCTCCTCCTCTCCTTTTTCTCGGTTTCTCTCAGCCACGGCCCCCCCAGGTAACTCAGGATGTCCTCGGGGGTGCCGCGCCTGCCGGGCTGCGGGTGGAGCAGCTCCTTCAGGAGCGACATCACGTGTGCGGTGAGACCCCGGAACTGAGGAGGAAACGCAGCGTCTCTGCCGTCGTCCTTCTCCTCCTGGTGGACGAACCACTCCTCGTACCGGCGGTAGTTGTGGTCATCGTGGGTGCTCTCCTCCCAGGGGAAGCAGCCGGTCAGCAGGCAGTAGGTGAGGACCCCCAGAGCCCAGCTGTCGATGCAGGCCTCCACTGTCACCCAGATGTCCTCCACCTCCTCCCCCGCCCCCTCCCCCCTCCGTCCGGCCACCTCCTTCTCAGCCTTCTTTGCCGGCTCCACCTCTGGAGTGCAGAAGGGCGACTCGTACCAGACGGCCCGGACGCACGTCCCGGTGGGCCGGGTCAGGCCGAAGTCCCCCAGTTTGACCCAGCGACAGGACTTGTCACACAGGAAGATGTTCTCAGGTTTGATGTCGCGGTGAACGAAGCCCAGGGAGTGGAGGTGGGTAACTGCCCCGCTGATCTGAGCCATCACCCTCTGGACACACTCTTCTTCTGCCCCCACCTGCAACAGACACACACTGAGTCAGTGGTCGGTCCAGGACCCAGAAGACGGCGGAGCCGAGCACTGACCTCTGATACGATGACGTTGTAGAGGTCACCGTAGAGTCCAGGCTGCTGGGCGAACACGTAGTGGGTCGGGGTGGAGAAGAAGATGCCCAGAGCTCGGGTCAGAGACGGGTGTGTGCAGTAGGAGAGGGAGAGGTTGTATTCACGCAGGAAGGAGTGGAGGGCGGTGGACTGACGAGGGAAGAGCTTCAGAGCCATAGGAGTCCCTGAGGGGGGAGGGGGGAGGAGCAGGCAGATAAGGTTTATTAATCTTCTACCTGGG